CAGGATCAACCATCTGACTTGGCAGGCTTGACCAGGCCACAGTCTTGAGTGTGACATGAAGCAACCGTTAGTGAAGTTGGTTGCTGTGCGTGCACACTTGTTTTTTTGGCATGTGTTGGCATTGTCACGCATCGAAACCGTTTTGGGTGTTTGCCGGATGCATTATCAACAGCAAGAATTCTGATTCTTTGGAGTGGCAAACTCGTCCATGCCCTTTGAGAGTTCTGCACTGCAATGAATGCCAGCTTGCCAGAAGCAGAACAATTCCTTTTGCAGAAGTATATAGCGCCCTTTGTGTTGCTTTTGGGGTAGGTCATGACGAACCATATCCAACTAACATGCAAGCTCCTCCGTGTTTCCATGTTATAAGACCTTCAAATTCAATGACCGAAAGTCACATGGTTAAATGCACGCCGGACTCTTTTTTTGTTGAATTAGTTTCACCCTGAGGCTTTTAGACCATTCTCCTGATCAGTGTCCCAGTGAAAGAGTCCAATGAGTGCTGTCCATCTCGCACCTCATGTGCTGTCCATCTCCGTCTCCGTCCGTCTTCCGTCCGCGACGCGCAGTCTTCCGCACCGTTTCGTGCATGTTTTAACTGAGGCTCAAGCACCGGAGCATGAACACGCTTCTGATGTGCCACAGTGGGTGAAAGAGCACGAGACGCTTGGCTTTTTGTCGTTTTTGTTGCACCTGGGTGGAAGTGAGGTTTTAAGTGTGAGGCAACAGGAGGATAACTTGTATGTTTTTCTTTGTGTTGATTGTTTGTGTTCGAAAGAGATGATTTGGATAACTACTCGTAGGTCTAGGTGTCTCTCGATTGGTCAACATGCAGATATGATAAGAGATCCCTTTTTTGTGTCTCTAGGATTGCATGTTTGTACGAGACATTGATTTTGTATCTATATATATATACATATAGTGTTATTTGTTGAACTAGTTTACCTTATTAACGTATGTTGTGTTTCGCCCATGTCGCTACCGAGTCTTTTTGTTCATTGCAACGTGGCTAGTGCGAAGTGCTGCTACCAAGTCCTACTTCATTCTGCAGGCCATGAGTTCCAGTGGGTCGGAGACCTCACAAGAGGGCCGACCCACATCCCTGAGGGCCGAGGCGTTTCACCAGCAACAGTGCCTGGCATGGTCCACAGAAATTGATCTAAATCATGATGAAACTGTACGCTGGGTTGGATTCAGAACAAAATCAGAACTAGTTCGGAAAGGGGGGAACGTGTGTATCATCGTCAACTGGACTTCGGCAACCCAAACTCATTTGGGCGTGTATTCAGAAAGGGAGACCTACTGGAAAATTCACGAACCGAACCCGTAGATTTTGTGTTTTCCTGTTTGAACTACATTTAAATACACTCCTGAGTGGCTGTTTCGATTGTTTTGTATTTTCAACCTTTACTTGAGATCATTGATCCCAGTGACACAACCCATGGGGAAGCTCCCTATTCGCACACGATTGGTCTTTTCCACACAAAACAACAATCCGTGACACACTGGTGCCGGTAGAATACAGGAATCGTTTTCGTCCATGCCGTCGTTGGTCTCTGCCACGCCCGTCGTGGGCACCGGCTACGGACCGTTCCGCAACTCGAGGAACGCCTGCTACGCCGCGTACGCGAAGCAGCCACCGGCCTTCCACCGACCCCGAGCGGAGGCGGATGTGGGACCGGTTCATATGCCCAGAAGTGACGTTCGCAGCTTCGTTTGCTACTTGTAGTAATGCCCTTGTTACTAGTAGCGATGCTCTTGTTACTAGTAGCTATGCCCTTAGCTACTATATAGTAGCTATGGATTCTGGTGAGATGTTTTGTTTGGTCCTGGCTGGGGCAGATTTGGGTCTGATCGTCGGAGACATTTGGGTGATCTAATGCCACAAGAGCATTGGCATAGGTCATGGGTGACCAGGGGCTGGTCTAAGTTCTTTTTTAGCTGGCCATCTGGCGATCTTGCTCTTGCTGCAATTGGTGTGTCATTTCCTAGTCAGAGCCTCCTGCACGACTGGCATGCAATTTGTTCCACATACAGGTCTCGAAGCAGGTTACTTGAGCCCAACAAAAAACACCACCAGAAAAGCGCCGTGCTGCGTTTTCTTTCATGATGGGCGCTGCCAAGATCCTGCTAGCCTTGAGCAGCTTAGCCTGCGCAATTTGATTGCCGCACTGTGAGCAAAAACACACACAGCAGTAGGGAGATAGCTTTGGCAGCTTTGACTTGCAGTAGGGAGAGAGTTTGGCCAAGAAAACTTCAAAACATTATTCAGCTTCAGGTCATGTTTTGACACTTGTGCACAGGGTGAGTGTGCAACACCACGCACTTCAATTCACAAACTCTGATTACCGGTCTCGAAAGCACGTCAGGGCTATCTTCACTTTAACTCAGAAGTTCTTTTTTCCAGGCTCTGAAACAACAATCCTGAACCGGAACCTGCATACTCCCCAACCTGCTCTGGACTAGAACTGGTCGGGAACCGGCTCTGGAAGGAACAGAACCTGCTCTTTGGAACCCTGTCCACCAATCTGCTCCGCAGTCTTAGTAAACTATGGCCGGAGACACTTATAAGTTTTGCTGCATGCTTTCCTCATTAACACGTAACACGATTGCTACTACTACCACTTCCAACACTTCCACTACCACTGCCACTACCATTACGTAGCACCAAGGAAGCCAGTAATGGTACTACACTATTACTGATACAACAACAACAACAACAACAACAACAACAACAACAACAACTACTACTACTACTACAACCACCACCGCTGCCACCACCACCAGCTGCAGCTCCCAAAGGCTGAACCACAAAATAGCTAATCTGCGTGTGTACTTGCTGAGGTTTGGCTTCACGTCATTGGTTTGCGACCAGAAAGACCTAAGCGCTTGCCGCATTTCGATAGAATTCAGGAGTCTCAAGGGCGACATTGGTGATGCTGTTGGAGCAACTGTGGGCAAGTATGTTTCACTTTAAGTCCAGGTATTCCTGAGACGCCCAGGAATAGGTTGGAGAATTTCCTGCTCCAAGGACAATTTTGGTGAAACTGTTGAAACAACAGTGGGAAAACATGTGTCACATGGTTTCACCTTACATCCGAGCATTCCTGAGATACGCCCTGGAATGCATAGGTTCTTAATTTTAACTTACGCCTATTGGAACATCGACACAAGTCGCTGTAACGATCATGCAACATGGGGGCGGACGCCGAATTTGTGCAGTGACGACCCTTGTGCAGCACGGTTGTCGTCTGAAAAGATTTGAATAGCTGCCACTCCATTTCCCACGCTTAGCGTGACAGGAACGTAAGATGCATGCAATATACAGTATACATAGTAATACTTTTTAGTATTTACAGTAGTGTCTCAAGCCTCGGGGGTAGAACAAATCATGCTTAGCAAACACATCCAAAAGGAGCTCTGGTAGTAAGCCTTTGACCCATACCCTATTTGTTGAAGCATATTGTTTAATTTCCACCTGCCAGCATTGTTGGCAAGTGTTTCTGCATCCCATGGTGAAATTGGATACAACTTGTGTTTGTTTGCTTGTTGTTTGACATTGTTTAACATTATTGTTGGAATTTGATGAGTATAAAGTTTGTAGGAGATACTGAGTGAGAGGCTCATGTTTGCAAGGGCCCCATTTCGGCATCCTTTGGAGGTTCTTGCAGAACACTAATCGGCACGGTTTCATCCACTTGGTGTTGGTCTAAGTTTCTCGATATCAGTGTTCAAAGCACATAAAACTATATATATATCATTGTTAACATGGGGGATTCCTACTGCACAACTACATCAACTTGTGGGGAAAACTGTCGCAACACCATCACTGTTCCAAACCTGTCACTCTGCTTTCGGAGTCCTGTCACCCCCACCCCCTTCACTGCAACATTCTCACCAGGCGTGGCGCTGGCGCGCCCGGAGAGACTTTGCCTTCGAACCCAGACCGGACCAGACCGGACCAAGCGATCTGGTCGAAACGACCTCGGTTTGAGGACAATCACTGGATTCTGTGTATGGTGTTCCCGATCATTCCGCAAAAAGCAGCTGTTTGGGTCTCAGAGGGTGTTTGGATTTGAGGGTTCTAATTCTAGAAGTATTGTTTAACGTTTGGGGATGGAGGTTGATGCACAAAGGTGCAAAAAACATAGGTCGTTGGTGGTACACCTTGGGTAGAAGACAACGTCCAAGTGAGACTCCGTATTCCAGACCATTGATGGTTCTCGAAGAGATACATCGGTGGCTCATGGGCGTTTGACATTTGCAACTTATCCACTCAGTCCGACCCAGGGATGATTCGGGTACAGACATTATTGTTTTCAGACTCACTCTCTCGATATATATTATACACATCCGTTTATTGCACTTTGTTACAATCAATTCAATGTTTACCAACCAAAAGGCTGGGCTGTTCAGTACAGTAGGGGCTGGTAGGGGCTGTTCATTCTCCGCTGGATGAGTCTACAAGCTGTGGAGCTGATAGGTGCGGAAACCTCTGTGGCGACCGCTCCCAGGTCATGCCAGCGGTCGTGGCACCGTTTGGCCGGCCCGAACTCGAATGCTTCAAGGCATCGGTTGACTCGCTGGGTGAGGAATGGGTTTGAATGTTCATGGCATTTAGACCATCCATCAGAGGTTGAAGGACCCTATAGACTATCCGATAGGTAACCCAGTAAGTTCCTATTTCCGGTCACTTAACCTCTGTCGGATCCTACAGGACGCGAACACGGAAAACCGCTGTTGGGAGGCAACATCGACATCTAGCTACTGTAATATCGATCCGAGAAGCCAGTGAACCAGGAGATGAAACGAATGCAGGATACATTGGTTGACCTACCCGACCGGAGATCGTGAGCGAACATGGTGTTTGGGCGCTACATGTTCTGAGCGATGTACCTGAACAAAACATGTGGAGATTTCCATGAGACGTAGGGGTGCTTTTCGTACCCACCTGCAAACAATGCATCCACTTGGCGCTGGCGCACAGATGCAGTGTTTGCTGCTGGTTTGCTGCTCCCCCTGAGCATCGGTCGATCCGTCAGACCCATCCGAATCATATTATCCTTGGCCAAGTTGGAAGATGTAGCAGCGTCACCCAAGTCCAGCACAAGCAGTTTCAGGATCGAAAATTGGCCATGGCCACACGCCGGATCTTGGAAGTTGCCAGTGCTGCTGCCCTGTTTGCTGCGGACGCTTTCGCAAGTTTTCACCATTACGGGGGCCCGGGTTGCCAGAATCACACGTCAAGAGATGTGCTGGTAAGACGCCAGAGTTCATGAAGCTATACCAGCACATCCAAAGGTGTTTTTCTTGACTCATGTTGACTCAAAATTTGGTGTGGGTGATTGGTATACTGTGGCATACCTGATTGCCATTAAACGCATTAAAGATACCCAACAAGCCCATGGTGCCGAGACACGAAGTCAGTGGTGCCGCTTTTCTTTTGTTTTGTGGTGAACGGAAGTCAGTGGAAGAGTCTTGGAAAAAGCACCCTACGCAGAGGAAAGGCACTCAAAACTTCATTGTGACTGTGAGCATGGCTCAGATGAGGGAAGGCGAGTCTTACTGTTGTCTATGCTAGACCATGGGGACACTCACCAGATACATAGCTATTCAATGCTCTTCCAAAGCACGATATATACTCCTGTGCCGAGCTGATCTTCCAGACAGTCATAGTCATAGTATGTCATAGTCAATATCCTTGTTCTAGGCACCTCATTTGAGCGTGAGCCTCTGTCTGATGCAGATTAGGGCCGTGTCTGGCAGAACAGTTGCTCAGGTGGATGAGGATGAGTTGCTTGACATGGTTGAAAGCGGAAAGTCCGTTCTGCACCTGAAGCAGCTCCTTTCAGCTAAGGTCGAAGTCTCAAGATTTCGACAAAGACTCTTAAGTGACGGCGGCGAATTGCATGACAGCATGCCGCTACTACCAGTTTCAAGTGTTCAGCTGGTAATCCTGGACTTTTGTGCTCCACATGAGACTATGTGGGATGAGCTAGTTCGCCACTGTCTGGAGAATAATGTGGGGGAAGTTGAAAGCTTGCTTCAGAAACCGTGCGATCCCAACTGGAGAGATGGTGTCAGACGTAACAGACGTAGTACTTTCAATTACAATGCTACGCCCATTCATTTCGCGGCTCACGGAGGCCACTTGGAAGTTGTGCGGTTGTTGCTCGAGGCTGGAGCTGACAAAGATGCAGCAATGAGAGATGGGGCAACGGCTTTGTTCATTGCAGCTGAGAACGGCCACTTGGAAGTTGCAGGCTTGTTGCTTGAGGCTGGAGCTGACAAAGATGCAGCAATGACAGATGGGGCAACGACTTTGTGTATTGCCGCCCAGAACGGCCACTTGGAAGTTGCCCGATTGTTGCTCGAGGCTGGGGCTGAAAAAGATGATGCAACGGCAAACCTGGCAGCAGCTTTAAGTGTGGCAGCAGGCTGCGGTCATCTGGAAGTTGTGCAATTGTTGCTTGAGGCTGGAGCTGACAAGGATGCAGCAACGACAGATGGGACCACCGCTTTGTTTAATTCTGCCCAGGAGGGCCACTTGGAACTTGTGCGATTGTTGCTTGAGGCTGGAGCCGACAAAGATACAGCAAGGACAGATGGTGCAACGGCTTTGCATATTGCCGCCCAGAACGGCCACTTGGAAGTTGTACGATTCTTGCTTGCGGCTGGAGCTGACAAAGATACAACAAGCAAAGATGGGGCAACCGCTTTGGCTATTGCCGCCCAGGAGGGTCACTTGGAACTTGTGCGATTGTTGCTTGAGGCTGGAGCTGACAAAGATGCAGCAACGGCAGAAGGGAAAACAGGATTGCTTATTGCCACCGAGAATGGCCACTTGAAAGTTGTGTAGTTGCTGCGTGAGGCTGCAGCTGACAAGGATGCAGCAACTGTAACTGGGGCAACGCCTGTTCTTTAGTCTTGCGATTTGACACAGCATGGCATAGCCAAAAGTAGACTTGTTGTCCAATTCAGATGGGTGGGTCATTAATCAAGACCATCACAACATACCTGCCAAGTTCATCAAACATTATTTGTTTTCGGTCTGGAGAAGTTCATCAAAACATACCAGGACCTTCCATGTCGAAGGTTTCTTCAGATGTTCCGGAGGTCTCGAAGCATTTCCTGTTTTTTTGCTAATGACTATTTAGGGTGAGTCATGGTGAGTCCCATTATCAGCCGTCGGCGGCCCGTCGGTCAAAGAGGATCCCTCTTTGTTGGGATGGACAAAAGGCCCTGCAAGCAGCCAACCATCATCCAAAAAGGGCCCTGGTAACCCAACGAAGGACCGGTTGCACATCAGAACCAAACTGTGTCTTCTTCTTGTGTCACCTATAGTCATAGCGAGATGAACCGAGGAAGACCCCACCCTGACAGGTCCTGCCGAAGCAGTTCTACTGTTGAACTGTTCACTTACAGTATATATGGTCGCTGGGGTATATATCTTGGTAGGTGGAAGCAACAACAAGCATTGGCTACACGCAGCTGTTTTTTGTTTTGGCGGTATTGTTGACAAGATCCGAGCATAGGAACATGCAGGAAGAACCAAGTGGCTGTGTATTTAGGATCGACATACAGCACTAGAATAACATGATATCAACCGGTGACGGAGCATGCGTTTCTTCGGAACACCAAACAGACAGTGTGTGAGCAGCCTTCGTGGTCTTGGACACCAAGACATGAATATTGAGCCCTCAGGCCTTTTTATAAGGTTGCTATGATATTTATGTGTTGTCAGGGTCAGTTCCTCTCTTTTGTTGCGTGGAGGTTGAAGACGTGTAAATGTTACGTAATAGTTCAACACAACCGAGGGCCAATTCACGAACACAGAATCAGTTTACATGAAAACATGTAGTTCCATGACATCATATAGTTAGTAATGATGACATGTATACATGTGTACTGTGTGTATATGATAATATATGTAACATTTGCATAGATCTGTTTGAATCCATGATCACAGTATCATCATAATATAATCATGCATCATTTGGCCATGTTTGAGACATGATTTGGTGTTCTGCTTTATCTAGCCCTGCGCAGCTGCGGCTGTGTTGAGTCGGGGGTAAGGAGAAAACAGGAATGTTTGAACGATTCCTAAAAGGCAATGCCGAACAACTGCATTCTAGAAGGTGTTCGGTGTTCATGTCTACTTTGATAGTTTTTGAGAGTATGGTAGTTCCATGACCTTTGGCGTGTTTGAATGGTACAACTCTGATGTGGCCAGGGCAATTGGCAGATTCAGAGAAGATGACTTGGCAGCAGAAGAAGAAGAGGAGAAAGAGGTTGCTACCTGTGGAGGTTCCAGATTGGAAGCCCAGATCGGTGTAAAGATGTGTAAAGGAAAGGGAGTGCAATACGAAAGGCGAACGAGACAAATGCACATCCAAAGTATCATGACTACCGACTACAAAGTCGTGAACTTTCTGAACTTCTCTCCGATCACAACATATATGGACTTCGCCACCTACCCAAGCCCGACCCCCAAACAAATTATCGCTCCCTGCTTGGTACCCCGAACCCAAGGGGTGAAGGGAGTACCCCGTGACCAGTGCTTTCAGACCCAGCGCTGTTCGCCGATTTTTTACTGCGCCCAGTGGGGCCCACAGTGGACCGACTGAAGCCGACCGCGGTGAAGGGAAGTCGAGAGACGCCATGGTTTTGGGTGGACCAAAAGCACCCCCATTAGGCCTACACTGGGAGTCAAAGACTAAAAGAAGAATGGTCTTTAGGTGACCCGAGTTCAGGAATTTCCTTTACTTCAGTCGGTCAAAATACATAGTCAAACTGGACTTCTAGGGCCTAGTCTTACGGCGAAGTATACGGGCCGCCACGGGCAATTCGTTTGGGTGTGGCCTTGGTTTCATCCGATCCGTCTGAGGGCAAGGTCTACCAGCTCTTCAAGCAGGTGGGAGGATTTATCGTGTTTGAACGGCAGGGGGGTCATGTGGCGGTGGGTCATGGTGGGTCGTGGCACTAGACCGACCAGGCAAGCCCCGGCCGTCCTCCAGGACGGGGTCGGCGCATGTCGGCGCTTCGCGTCGGCGCGTAGACTGGTCGGGTGAAGATGGTGGGTTGAACAACCCATCCTCATGTACTGGATGTACCAGGGTGTTCTATTTTGGATGAGCTATTCTTGTTGGGCCTTTTTGGATCGGTTAAGCATGTATACCTCTTTCTTCTCGCCAAGTCCCCATGCAGGTTCTGCTTCTTTGCAGCTTGTTGGAGGAGAATTCCATGTGTTGACCACAAATCTGAGAGGTTTTCAATCACCAGCAGTCCAGTTTCAAGCCAAGGTCAGGCTCATGCAGTCCATAGCATGGCAGCATGTCCGCAGCCTACTAACGTCCAGGTCCAACTTCAGCACAGCTTCGACGACCGTTTTCGTTTCGGGGAATTCGGCTCTTCCAGGCATTCAACACGTACAAGCAGATGCAACCTTGGCCACACGGCAGCATCTCAGCGAAGGACGTTCATTGATCGCCTGACCCAGTTCGGCTCCAGGTACCTCCGTCGTCCGTCCGAAACCAGAGAACAGTCTTCACATGTCTTCGAGTCGGATAGTCCCCTATAGACCCTGATAGAGCCTAGCTGGGTTTGATTTGTCGTCCTCGGGGATCGAAACGGAATCCAACTCAGCCGACCTGAGAAGCTTCGTGGCCGAACTTTGGAGCGATAGACTGTATAGATATAGCAGGTCTATGCAGGTCTCAAGGTCTTTTGGTGAGCACGCAGCGGAATCAGCGAGCTACGGTACTGGCGGAAAGGGCGTTCTTTTGTTCTGATGCAATCAGCCGTTTTCTGCAACGTTTGTCGATTTCGGAGAATATCGGTCGTTCCTTGAGGATGAGCGATACCATGAAGTTGATGCTCATGCGGGAGATCATTTGCAGCGCATGGGCACCGAGGATCTGAACTGCATAGAAACGACGTCTGAGGGCGACATCGATGTGGAGAAACCATCATGGCTTCTGTTCTTTTTGATATCAACCTGGGGTGTGTTTCATGAGCACGCCATGCCACTCGTGACACTGAGTAATCTGTGGTCAACAACATGGAGCTTGTGTGATTGGGAATCAAGCGGCTCACTTATCCGATTTGCTTCTTCGGGTCTCATCTTTGATCTCTCAACCGGCGTTTGCGCACTAGTTTGGACACTTGCCAGCTTGCACGTTACATAGGAGGAGTTGGGACCTAGCCTTGGATTTGGGACCCAGTCACGAATTATGTGTTGTCATGGTAGCTTAATTAGGCTGCTTGTGTTGCCCAATATGAGATGGTCAATCACTGAAGTTTTGTCGCATCACGTAGTAAGTTGTTTGGTGCTTGTTTGTCATTCCCTTCACACTGGTCCGGAAGAAGGGGGGCAATCCTTCTTCTTTCAGGTGTTGTACTACAATGAATTACATATTACTTACACTTGACAATGACCTTTACTTTATTACATGTTGGGCGTGTATTTAGCTTGTGTGTTCCACCTATTGAGACTTGAGAATGAATCACAGGTCCGCCATCTTGGACTCAAATTTCAACTGTGACCCACTGGAAAACAGCGCGTTTCCATGCCCACCACTGTTGCTTGATTCTCCCGTTGGAACGCTACCACCATGCTACCCGATGCTACCCTCACCAGATGAACCACTTGGTCTGAGAACCGAATTCAGAAGCTCAGACCTCCATTCCGCCCAATCTTCCAACAGGTGCTCTACGTCGAGGATCAATTCTCCGATCCACTCTTTTGGCGTAAGGTTGGGGGCGGTCGTCGGGTCGTTGGGGGGGGCATTGCTATTACCGGTGGACAACTTCTTTAATCGTTTTTTGTAGAGAACGCCATGATAGAACACCTGAAAACCGCGCATGGATGTATAATTGTTGCGTGTTATTCATAAAGTATTAATTGTTCAAATCGTTATGGTTCTCCATACCCCTCGGTGCCTCAGAATCGATTGTAGGTGTATTGATGAAGACCTTTCAGATTCACCATGGAGGACATTGGTATACGCTTTCTTCACATTCAGCTCTATATATACTATTGGAAAGGCTAGGCTCTGCCTATGCCTGTAAAATTTAAGGTGGATCAATTGAGCGTTTTGGCCGGCAGTGACCAAAAAGGGCAGGGATTCTGGCCAACTTGGTGACTTGTCGTCTCTTGTTGGTGAATGTGTGAAGTCGATCGATCAGATTAGCAACAGTTGCCAGGACAAACGCAGTCATGTTTTACACTATAGGCATGTTGCTACTTTCTTGCTGAAGCCCCAAAACGCTTGATGTTCATGAACTGGTTTTCCCCTCCCACCCGGCTTTCTGCTTTCAACTCCAGTTCGACCCCGTACTCAGCCCATGCATCTACTCTTGAATTTGAACCCGTAAATCGCAGAAATCCGACTTTTGACTGCCTTTGCGTCTCAGTTTTTCCTCGGCCCAGCAATCGGTGAACTTACACACCCCAGTGCGTCTCCTCCGAAGAGACGCGCCGGGCTGTGCTTTTTTTTTTTGGTGTTCACTGAGTTCACTGTCGTCCCCCATGATGGTGATGTTCCGCTGCCGAGTGTGTCCGCTGCACCGTCGCAGGTGGCTAAACCTTTGCAAGTGATTGGCGTCGTGGTGCATTTGACCATCCCAGAACTGCCCAGGCGGGGACACCGTTCCACCACTTTGGTTCGTTCAAAAGGGCGGGCGCGCTCAAGGGCGGACTCGGGGTGGTCGGATGCGGGATTTGGGCAAAACGCATCCATCGATCACAGAAAGCAGACATGCTTACATGATCTCACATGTACGTGTAGACAAAGTTGAGGTGCAATGAGTTTGTGGACTGGCATACCTTAGTATTGAGAGTCCCCTTGGGTACCGTGTGCTGTTTGACAGAAGTACACGCACAGCACACGCAGCTGTTTGACAGTCTCCAGAAGTACGCAGCGGCCAGTCCTGGATTTGTTGGGTGGATGTAGGGGCAGGTGCAGTTAGAATGAAATGCTCTAAGATTGCACGTGTTTGATTCAGTTGTGTTAGGTTTACCAAGCTAAGTTGCTCGTTTTTGTTTGTTTGTTTCTTTTAAGTCAACGGAGTTGATCGATGGTATCTCTCAGACTGGGGACCTAGCAGACCGCGCAGGTTTCTCTCAGACTGGGCAAGACTGGGTACGTATTCAGACTGTCAGTGTTTGTTCATCCCAGAAATCAACAAACATTGTTTGAATACCCAGACTGCTTTGTTCTCCCGACGGTGTTCAGACCGGTTTTCAGTTTTTACTTTACGGAAGGAAAGGCAGTCAGTCAAACTGCATGTTCCGCTGTTCACTTTGCTTGCATCCACGAGCTGGAATTGGGTTGATCACCTCTTGAAAGAGCATCAAATAGACCGTTGACGGTTTAGCTACAAAGGGGATCCAAAATCAAAACGTGGTCTCATCAAGGCTTGGTCAAGAATTTGATTCTAGACTTGCTTTAATAATGAACGATTATGAAAGATTTGTTTGATTCAGAGATCTGACGTGACAGCAGAACCGTTTCGACAGCAATGTCGACCGCACAGTTTCCTGGTATCGATCGAGCCGCTTTTCTCAGTGTGGCCCAGCGCTCCTCGCGTCTCTGGGGTTTCCAACCGACCAGGGCCAAAGCTGCAGAAGGGACTGCTGTGGGATTGGGGCCTGATGGGGGCGAGTTCAGAGCATGCTCAGATGAAATGCAGACCATTCCCCGCCGGCAGATGAAACAGATTGTTGGCATGATGAAAAGGTGTAGAGATACGACAAAGTTGTTTGCATCCACTGTTGGTACAAGTTTGTACATTCTTCGGTGAATGTTATTGAAGGAAGCAGGCCCACTGCTTTCCAGGACAGAGTCTTGTACATGCCAGACTGTCAATGACCCAAGGTTTGATACCTTGGAGCTGTTGATTCCATGGGGCCTTCCCCTCAAGTCTTGAGAGTCACTATGTATATAGCCCTAGAAGTCCAACCACCATTCATTTAATGAGCTTTATATACCAAACATAATTCTTTGTTGAACTAAGTATTTTACACTCACTACGAAACCAGGTCAACAATGGTCAACTTATTTTTTGATGGTCTTGGAAGTCTAAGGTAAGTACACTGCGTGGTGGTGTGCTACGGTGTACGGATGTGTGCGCTTAAACCAGTTCATGAACATGTTTTGCGGAAGCCGCGCGTGCGTTCGGTGCAACGTGAACACATCTCGGCCAAAAATGGCGACGGTGGTTCACACATTGGGCTGAAAGGTTGGAGTGCCATGAGTGTCATGTCTTTTCCTTTCAACTCCAACCTGGCACCTCTAATTACTATAATTACACAACGTCTCCAATCGCCGACCCCCGACCCGGTGACCGGTGCGACTGGATCCGGGCGGTGCAAAAACAACCCTCAGAAGGTGCGAACCCCATGGATCTAGAGCTGGATCTAGTGGCACAAAGCACCACCAAGGACCCAGTCGTTGGGTCTTCTCTCGCTCCAAAGGGTCCCGCGGCGCAAGCGGCGCAAGGACGCGAGAGCCTTCTCCCCGAAAGGACGTGAAAGGACGGCAGAGGAGGCGCGAGAGATGGAACATGGAGCATACTGTTGCACACTTGATGTCGCATTCCCAGACAAAAACTGTCACGGTTTGAGCGACTGGCATCGCTAAAATCGGCTGTTGGAATGTTTGAATTTACTCAGCAGGCTGGATGCACACTCGTTTTGATCTATGTTTGAAAGGGAAGTTTCTCATGCTGTACTACGCTTCAGTGGCCATCAACCTTGATAAACCTGGAGCCAATAGAAGTGGACATCAACCCTACAATAGGCAAAGATGACGACGGGGGTGCACCATTTTAATGTCATGGTTTTCGTGTGCGGGGGGTGCAATTGATTGGCGCAATGTACTGTACCAAGTTTGAGAGCGGCCCCAACATGCATTATGAAGAAGCAGTTGACCGTTTTTTGGCGAATGTGGGAGTTGGAAGCTGTCGGAGAGTGCGGCCGCATTCCGCCTTCGATGCCAGGCTTTTTGGTACCTTAATTAATTTAGGCCCCTGACTTTATTAGTCGTCACAGCGCATCCACCAGATTGACAGCTGGCTTGGTGAAGAATATTTTACAGACCTGGTGCACTGATGATCCGTCAGTTCGATGGTTTCAGGGTTTGCAACACAAGACACCATCTAGACGACGTTTCATGGACCAAACACACGTTGGTGATGTTTGGAATTTGATATTCAGACTTGGAGCGACTGCTTAGACGTTGTTGTCCGATTTTTATTGGCGCGAATTTGTTTGCAACCATTTGTTGCATTGGATGATGGAATGAGACAAATTGCTTCTTGGCCGGGCAGGAGGAGGCTCTAAACAGTTGTTTGATCACATTGTATCCGAAAGTCACATAGTTTCTGGCAGCAGCAGGCGTCACGCTCTGTGACAGTGAAGTCGCTTTGTAGGGAAAGTATAACTTTCGGGATGCCAGTTCAGGACAGCCTGCATCGAGTAAAACAGGATTTGTATGATCACGTCGGAGATAAGACAAAGGTTACTAGTAACCCCTACATGGTTGCTATCCGACAGCCTCTGCATTCGATTCCTCTCTTCAGATCGGGCCCGTTGGTACTATTGTTTATCTTCGCAGGTAGAGCTTGACAAAGACCCGTTAGGACGTCAGAGCATGTCAGAGCGCTTTCCATGAACAGGTCACGTCCCATCGAAGAGGACCTTGGGCCTCCATACTACGCCACCTACGAGGTGGATGCAGTGGAGTTCTCCCAGGATAGCAGCTCAGTTGCACCAGTGTTGTGTGGGTCCCACAGGCCGACCACAGGCCCACAACAGGCCCAGAAGACCTAAAGAGATTGCTTGCCTTGAGTAATCAGGCCTGGGCTGGTTAATTTGTTCTGGGAGGTGTTGTTTTTCTCACGCCTACGGCTGTGCCATCTCGTGATCTGGATTGGTCAAAATCGGAGTCTGGACGAATTTGGGAAAACTACCAGGCCGGAATGTCCCTTTACTGCGTGTAAAGGCTCAGCCCAAACATGTCCTCACCTCACTGTTGAATGAGAGTTGCACTTTCTGCATCAAACTGATGCATATCCTCCCCATTATAATCTGTACATCAGGATCAATGTACTACCCTTTGACACGTTACCTGGAGTTTTTACACCCACCAAAATCATATCAAACACCGTTTCCAAGGATATGCAGATCCGTCCAGATTCCGCTCGCTTTGGTTGTAACGTGGGTTCCGTATTGAGGCATTGCAAAACGCTTCACCTGCGGCCGCTTTTTGGAAGACACAGTGGATGATTTGTTTACGGGGAAGGCGTTTGGGCTGCTGGGGACTGGAAAGCAGTTCTATATACTGTATCTATATATACTGTACATATAATACATGTTTAGTTCGGTAAAGTTTAGGTGGTTTTGGACGTGTTTGTGGAATTCAGTAGTAAACGCAGGGAATCAACAAGTCGAGCAGACGATGCGAGGACAAATATGATGCCAGACCTGTCCCACGAGCGTGTAGAACCAGAACAACCACTGGATGAGTTGCAGGCTAAGGGATAGCAAATGTGAAACGACGCATGATCAAGCGTCATAAACAAAAGAATCCTGCCTGAGCTTGGTAGGAAAACGTACCAAGTGTTTGCCAGCTCGTGCGACTTCCGGAAGAACTGATTGGTATTGAATTTGTGACTAGCTTCTTGTTCCTAGTAGCAAGAATGCTACTAATAGCGATGCCCTTGTTACTAGTAGCGATGCCCTTTGCTACTAGTGGCTTCTTGTTACTGCCAGACTCGTGTGGAATTCTGCCACTGGACGCACTTGTTGCACTACTTGTGCACGCTAGAAAATGTATAGGTTAGTATAAGTTATATATAAATATGTTTGATCAAATCAAAACAATGATAGAACACATTAAACACATATTAATTAACATTATTTGGAGTGCCTGCTTGTTTCTTGTGGACAATGATGAAACAACTATTGTGATAACTGGAATTGACTGTCCAAGCATACTGTGAAGCATGTTAAACACCGCACTAGATCTCCCCTATTAGTATAGGATTCCTAGTTTTCAATATTCAATTGGCTTTGCGCAAAAAAGACCGGCGCTTTGGCACCACCATTTCCATAAGGTTTCATAGTGGATAGGATCATTACATATTCTTGCACAGAGAGAGAGAGAGAGATAGCCAGGGTAAAGTCAATCATTGATGCAGGATGTTGTCCGGAGACAGGTCGTGTTTCGTCAACGGGTCTATTAGCAGGGAATGAAATCATATGAAATCAACATGTCCAGCTCTAAAGCCCATCAGAATTATTCAATCATCCCAACAGGGAACCCCATCAGAGGGATGATATTCAGCACATATCCACTGTATATGGATTATAGGCTTTCATAGCTTTTCCTAGCTTTTCATAGTGAAAGATTGGAAAACATATAGAAAGATTGAGAAACATTAAAACAAATTAAAATACATTGCAGAAAATTGCATCAAACTCTATTGCAGTGTGGAGTTGAATCAATCTCACAAGACCCTGGTGCAGCCACACTTCCACACAAACAAGCACATTCTTTTCTCTCTCATCTCTTGTACTGGGTCTTCTCTGGCAAATTCTTCACCACAGGCTTCAGTCTGATTCACTGATCTCTCCAGGGGTCTGTGCATTCTCACCACTGGGCAAACTTAGCTCTGGCAAGTCTACTGCCAAAGCCCACTTTGACCATGCCCATTCATGGATGCACTTGAGCTTGTTCACCCAATCATCCTCTACATCAAACTGGAAGGATCTAGACATAGAAACCTGTTTGTACTTGTCAATCCAATGCACACTTGGACTCTGCCTTTTAAAGGTAACAGTCCATCTATGGTCATTGTGATTGAGAACGAATTTGAAACCTGGTCCATTCAACTCAGAGAGGTCATCTGGTGTGGCATACACTTTGGGACCTCTTTCCACTTTGCCACCAGCTTCCTTGGATGATGCATTGTTGCACCCAAAACAGGAAACAACATCAGCACATCATATCAAAAAAGCACTGCAAAACTGCAAAACATCAAAGCCACAGCAGCCATGCAAATAGACATTGATGACAAAAACAATATGCTTCTGTTCCACCAAATCAAACATGAAGACATCCAAATGATCTTTGTCTCGACTAATGGTTTCTCAGATGAAGGAGTTACCACCCAAGAAAGCCGGAGGATCCATCCGGCCGATGCACGGATCGCAGGTGGAGCATCTGAACACCAAAGCCTTCCCGTTCATGCGGCTTGGCCGAAACCGGCACACCGGAGCGGTCGCGAAGATGTTTGAACTCTTTGCGCCAGTTCAGTTGAGCTGGCGCAAGGCTGTGGCTGGGTTTGGAACTGGTGGAAAGGAGCTCCCAATCTCCAAGGTGGTTGGCTGAAGCATGTCTTGTTGTACCTTTCTTTTTCGAGGTTATCGGACACTTTTGTTCCAAGATCTCATGCTGAACAGCTGACTCTCCGAGCCAGTCAAACCGTTGGACAGACTTCACTGTTAAAGCTACAAACTGCCGAAGAATGCAATGAACACATTAAGGTAAGGGTTTACAGTAGTCGGGTTGGTGTTTCGACCATACTGTATAGTTTTCTAGTTTGGACACCCGTTTCTTTTTTGAAAGTTGGCGTCTCTTTGGTTCATGCACAGAAGCACCCTGTTGTCCCTTGCACAGAAGCTGCTTTCCAAGCGGCAAGAGTTACCAGAAAATGGAAAACCTCCTCAACTGCTGACACCCCAGGACCTTCAGACCCTCAGACCCCATGTTGACTGAATAAAACGTTTACATCTCCGAATTGAGGAGGGGGTGTTGATCCAGTTCGTCCACGCAGCCTGCGCCGGTTTCCACTAACTGGTCCACTTGCTCGGACGACCCGGCCGTTCTGCCTCGCCTCTCCTCGTGTACTAGGCTTCTACTGGCCGTGAAAGTGGGTGACCGCATCATCAGCCGGGATTCTCAGGTCTTCAAACCGAAGGCGCCCAGGAAGGCCGAAGAAGAACGCGACGCAAGACGCGAATGCCGAAGAATGAAAGAACAAACTCCTTTGCAAGCCTAGTTATATGATGCATATATGATGCATACCTACATTTTCATTCATATACTGAAATTTATGTCCGACTTATTGACACATAGGTCTGGTGAATCTTTTGGAACTCGGATGAATTTCAGTTTCAGGTTGTTATTCACTCTTTGAGCCTACTATGCACACCAGCCCATGCACACCTGCACAAAGTTTGATCTTTCAAGGATGGCTATCAAGGCTGCTTTAAAACAAACGGGAACATTGACATTCATCTCGGTAGAGCTTTGGGATCATTTCAGAACAGCAAGCGAGTGAACCAGCTTTAGTCTGATGGCGTCATACGTTGTTCTGATCTGCTTGCACGGTGATGAACGCCGCTCTGTGAAAAAGAGTTTCTATACCTTGTCGTATCCATCGAGTCGCGTAAGTGCTACGCTCTGTGAATTTGATTCAGGCTTCCAAGAACAATGGTACGGAAGACTTTCAGAAACGTTCTGGGCTCCCATCCTTTGGTGAAGATCTTGGTGCACTGTCACCGGAGGATTTGGAGATTGGTCGACAGCAAGTATCCAACTACTAAGGCCACAGTTATTGGTCCCGATGGCGCAATGGCTTCTTTTCTCTAGTTGGAATTTGTAAGAAGCATAGAACTATCGATACCCTCTTCACAAGCCGTTCCGACAGCTTGACATCCCTTTTCTATAAAGGTGTCACCACTGCCAATGGCCGAGTCTTCTTTGCAGCCCTGGTATCAGTAAGGAAGAGATGGACTTCAGAAAAGGGATGCACATGCTGGGACGTCAAGTGCTATTGAACCGTGTCACCACTGTGGAGCTGGAGGTCCTGGGGCCAGCTTTGAGCATTGGCAAGTGTCCAACCTGGGAAAGAACTTTGTAAATGAGCAGGCCGGCAAAATACCCCCAGTCTTTCCTTGGTGCCATTCGACTGAACTGACAGTGCAAGGAGACCTCTTCCACATACTTATAAGGTTGGGCCGGCCCGAGATGTCATAGAGGGGAGTCCTCACACTCCTGCTTCGACTGGGCTTCGATTATGGACAAGTGGCTCGCAAGAGCGCACTCTCTGTTTGCACTCTATTGCTGTGCGTGTGGCAAAAGCGCTGGTTTGCAATCTTTCACCAAACACCTTTTTAACATGACCGGGCTGATGTCAGCACCATGGAGCAGCCTAAAGAACAATGACAGCGTGTTGTTACTGAAGTGGCTACAGGTTCCAGGCCAGGCCACCAGCAGCTTCTCCAACCATCGGATGTTGCAAGTTATCGGATGGCAGCTTCTGAAGTTGCGTTTGGTGCACAGTAACTCAGTAACCTTCTTTGGATGAAGCGTGACTGTGGGCTCATGCCGTCCACATGATGACGATTCTCCACGGATATTCTCTGTCAACGGCTTCGTTCCAAAGCCGCAGCATCACGCACTCCACCACCTAGCTTTCTCCCTGCGGCAATTGAGATCAGGTGGTGCCTGCATTCTGAACACAAGGGACTGTCCCGCCTGAGCCGAAGGTGGGAGTGTCTCATGGACTTTCGGGTCTTCCAATGCAATCCCGTCAATGTTTGGTCATTGCAAAAAGCAAGGCGAGCGAAGATGAGGAGTCAGGAAGATGAAGAGATCATCTTACAGAACTTTGTAGCAAGGTTGCCCAGGTCCAATGCTTCCGTCCCTCATGGCCTCTCTTGCTTTCGCTGGGGCCGCGACATGGAAGCGCAAGGCGGCTTACATGGTTTAAGCCCCAAATGTTCAGAACTCAGTGAAGCTAGAGATCTATTTACACCAGACTCCAACAGTATTTAAATTCGATTTGTGTTCCAAGCCTCCTTTCTCTTCAAACGAAAAGGTTGTTGGAATCAAACTCGGACTGAGGAAAATCTATAGGTATAAACGTTGCAAACGTATGATGCGTATAGATGTTGACAGTGCCTCGAATGTACCTTTCCCTCTCAAGTGTTATGTGGTTTTCATGTGGGATCATTCCATAAGGGCCCACCAGTTTTCCAGCATTCTTTTCTGGGCCATACATGGAGTAGACAGAAGATGGATCTCTGAAAACAGCGGGCACGTTTGCATTCTGTTTGTATGACTGTCCTCTTTACTTGTCAAAAAGTCTGCGGATTGGACAAGTCTAACTCTTCGGCTCCTTTCCCAAGGCACAGAAAGAGGACTGGGCAAGTGGAAAGGGCTTGAAGAACAATTGAAATCTGTTTACAATCATTTCCTCATTTCATCCGATCAATCTCTTCAGAGACCCGGCTTCTTCCATGACTGTATACCATGTTTGACGCACGGGTCGGTCCGAAAGGCCCATCGTTGACGCACCGAGACGGCCGCAGCGAGGTCGATGCAACCGGCGGCTTTGGGCACTACGAGAGCTGCAGCGGCTGAAGCGAAAGAAAGATCCTGAGACGCGGCTGTGTTTAGAGACATGGAGATGTGGAGCGATACAAAACTCACATGGACCCTAAAATAGAGGAACGGCACGGTCTTTGAGGGTGCGTAATGGTTACTCCCGGGTCCATATGCTCGGTCTGTCTGATCCCCAAGAGTCGTGGAAGAGTGAGCGTGGGTATACGATCTGACTGGGACTGGCATAACTCCTCATGAGGTTAGGGGGCCACGGGTGGTTGAACTTGCAGCCAATGTAGGCAAATGCGTCATACATGGAACATTTGGGGCTGATTCTGTTTAAGATCCAACGGCCTTTTTATTGCAATACTGGGAGACAGTTTGTCACGCTTTGTTTGAATTTTGAGGGTGACATGGTTGTCAAGATCTTTGAAGAGACTGAGTTCCAGCGTGTTTGGGCAACGTGGAGGTGTTTAAAACATGTAGCTTTCGTTGAATGGGTTTTAGTCTCTATCCAGGATATCGGGGAAAGGGAATTTGCAGTATAGCCTTTTTGTTTTTGTATCATAGTGATGTTGTATAGGCGGGCCAAGCACCTTGAAAACTGCCTTTCTGCTTGTGACGTGCAGAGATACCAGTCTTATGTCCTTCCCATGTCCATGACATCATTCGCGGAGTGTGACAGGTGGGACGTGTGCTATACGCACGCTCAGGGATTGAGCTTATAAATGCATTATAATGCAATATTTACAGGTGGCCAAGAGCCCACGATGGGGTGTTCATTGGCCATTCATGAATATATGCATGAATATATTCATGCATGCAATAATGCAAAGTTGAGGACAACGCACGGTGTTTTTGATGAGGACACTGCCCCAAAGCGGTCATTGCAAGAATGCTTCATTGAACACATAGAGCAGAGACAAGAGGATGTCCACTTGCTTTTGGGGGTAGGCGTGAAAATATCAGCTGCAGTGGAACATCTCGAAGCTGTGAACCACAGACGCGACGCGGTGCCAGTCTCGCAGCCGAGGATGCCATTGTGGATGTGAAAGTGAAAGCAACTGGGCTGAAGGGAATGAGTTTTCGAGGCAACATGTTGAAGGATTTTAAGGATTGAGAATGAGATTGGAGGTTCTGAAGGATTTTAGGTGACTGGGCTGAAGGTGACATTTGGAACGTCATTCCGTTCAGATGGGATATTTTGCAGGGTCCAATTATGGCTGAGGAGGAGCATGGCGGCCTGGCTGATATAACTAGGCTCATTTTGCCAGCCGCTGGCACCCCATGTTTGTGCTTCAACAGAAATACGGCTTGTTAAACCATCTTACAGGCACTGGAACTATACTAGAGTAAAAGGAGAATTGAACCTTTTCTCCGCCACATTTATATAATATGGTTCTCCCGGCGACCCCGAAACCCTTATTGACCAGTGTCCGTTTTCTCACGGCTGGCCTTATAGAAACCCCCGTGGTCCCGTTTTGGGCCGTTCGTTCGTTCCCCGTCACTCCGTTTCGTTCCTCCGTTTCCCCGAGGTCCGTGACATCCTCAATGAGACGGTCAAGGCCGTGGTCGAAGCTCGTGCCCCGGCCCCGATCCTCAGCGCCCGCCGGGGGGCCTCAGCGAAACCCGGACCGGACGGATGGTGAGGACGGGGACGGGTATAGGACGATGGAAGAGGGTTTGGATCGTGCGGGGCAGGTGGACGCGGTCTTTCTTGACGCAGATTCAGGGTGGAGGTTGGGGAGGCGGAGAGGAGGTGGAATGGTTCAATCATGGCGGAGTCCCTAGATCAAACAGCTGGTAGTGACACTATGTTTGTGTCATTTTGTTAGTGTTTGTGTGTGTATGATGGGTAAACAACTGTTCAAACAGAAGGCGCCAAACGATTGCGTTAAGGATCATGTTCACCAAGGGCCATCAGAGCAAACTCTTGATCCAAAATCCAAAGAGTTCAACTGGGTTAAGCTGACGCAATCAAGAAATAGCAAGCATGCAGGGCATTGTGCAATGCCAACTCATTCATGTGCTGAATATGACAGAAACCTTGGAGATAGACATGGACTTTGCCACCCCCGTTGCGAAGTTCCTCTCAATCACCCAGCCCGGATGGTCGTGGAGCCGAAGTCCAAGGGACATGACTGCCAGCTCCGCTCTGTATATATACATAGTTACATCCATCCATCCACTCACTCACCCATACATACGTACATACCTACGTACATACATACGTACATACATACACTCACTCACACACACACACACCCGGGTGTAAATACATGATGTACTGTAGTCTGTGAGGGGGGAAAAGTTCAGATCATGAACTGAATTGGGATGTCAGCGGAAGTGATCCCAGATCCTGAGCGAGGCGACGCGGTAAGTGATGGGGCGAGACCACGCGGTGTTCCATGAAAGCAGTCCCACTGCATGTTATACCGTAAATAGATATACTAAAATGCTGTATGCATACTGAAAACTGTGAAAAAGATCATATATCACCTTTGCTTGAAATATGTGGGTTTCATTCTGCCTCTTGGGCACGCGCGCGAGGGCTGAGAGACGGGCTGAAAGACGAGGAAGACATTCAGGCGTTTCGGCACGATCTTTTGTGCGCGTCACACCCGGGGGATACACCCGGGAAAAGACATGGAACCTGAGGGCGTGCACCTGCCAATGTCCGGACGATGTTCCTCTACCAACCAGCGCTTTTCTTGATGTTTTTTCACAGGTCCGTGTGGGTGTCCGAACCAGGGAGTGTTCCTTCGAGTCGGAACATGGTCATTCTTTAGGGGCATACGTGAACGTGAGCGAGTCTGTGTGGTAGCGTCCAGACCTCGCGCTGCGCTTTTTGGCAGAGGCAGATACATAGTGAGGGTCCAGCATTGGACCTGGGTTCGGGGGGGTCCTCTCCATGTGTCCAGTTGTCCTTCGGGTGGATCGACCGCGATGGCAGGAAACATCATTGGTAAGAGTTGGCCCTCAATTTTGTGTGCTCAGGAACTTGGAAGGTGTTAAGTTTCTTTTGCGCAGACGCCAGAATTCTTACGGGTTGAAGGGGGGTGGACTTTCATAAGAAGACGGTACATGTTTCCACTATTCATTCGTGAATTCATTGGAATTCCTAAAAACTGCTGATCTCTTTCCCACCGTCTCTAAACATTCATTCTACCCTGAGCGTTCTTCCTCCTGCCAGGATGACGGCTTTGAGGCTTTGTTCCAACACGCAGACGCTCCGGACCGCACAGAGGATGTTGCGGACCGCACGGAGGGCGGAAGCGGCCGCCCACGAAAGCGGCAGCGCATCGCCCCTGGTGAAGATTGAGCAGCTTCCCGCAGGCGTGAGCGTATGTGAAGAGTGTTTTAATCAGCAGAGTTAAGAGGAACATGGAGAAACCAGCCATAGTAGGGATGTTTCGGGTCATGGGCTCAGATTGGTCAAAGGATCTCAGATCAGATGATGCTGGAATATGCTCTTGGCGCATGGATGCTGGGACGAGGTGACTGGTTGATAGGTACATATGATTTGAAACAAAGAAACTTGCATGTGATTCGTCATTCACGCGCTCAAAGTCCATGTCCACCAACGACTTCTCTTCCAAAATATGGGAGAGTTAGACGGGTTTATTTCTTTTCTTCCAGGGGGTCGGGATGCCCGGTCTCCCTAGTGAAACTACACACCATTAAAGAACGCACACATATCACGGTTCAGGCCCACGTGGATGTGGATGTCACCGACCTCCGTTGCTCTCCGCTGCGCGAAAGCCCGTCGCCCGGACTCCCCCACGATGACGATGAGTGGCTAGAAGACGTGTACGGGGCGGTGCGTGGCGTGGCTTCCCAGTGATCTTGCCAACGAGTGACTTCGCTGGTTGATAAATGAAATCTTACTCTATAACGATAATAGAAAACCACAGCTGCGGCTAGGAAGTAAAATGCAAAATGCGAAAGCCATTGTGGGTGTGTATTGAAGTAGGAGACCTCCCAGTTTGATTCCGTGAAAGGTTCGGGAAATAGGGGGTCTCCCTATGACTATACTCACTGACACCGACACCCATATAGATTTAGATTGTAGTACTGGACCGATCAACTTCAAAGTTCAGGCCGTTAAGCAGGCAGGCTGTGAGCAGGCTGTGAGCAGGCTGTAGGTGTTTGGTTTTCGATGAAGGAGCTCTAGCAGTCCTTATCCCCTAGACATTGAATGTCTTTGTAATTTGCACGATCCACTAGTTTTTTATGCAAGCTGTCCATTTTGCTGCTTGGATTCATGTTTTGTCCTTTGGCCTGACTGGCACCGAATCAACCACATGTACCCATCAATGATCATTAATGATTGGTCGAAGCCACGTAAAACTTTTATAACCATATGATATGATTTCGTGTAACTCTACCTCCAACAAAGATGCATGGTTATGTATGTTTCGCTACAAAGCACCAGCCAAAGGAACTGCGTGTTCCGGTTGTGACAGCGTGTTTGATGATTGCCAGCATGCAATATTGCCAGCATGCAATTATTCAAAATCCAAGGCAAGTAGACACCCTTCATGATAACCTGGTTTCCACAACAGTTCGTCTCTTTAAGGTGTTTCCTGACAAAGGCAGGTTTGGACCCGGGAGAGGGGATTTCCTTAACAGCACTACACTGCACTGCTCATCCCACGTACAGTGACAACATGAAGCACTACAAGCAGGTGGTTCATCATCTCCCGAGAAGTGAACGGTTTTCAAACTCCAAGAGAGCGAATCTCTGGGCGCCTTTTAGTCCAACATCTCACTTTTCTCCGGCAGTTAAGGGGAAGTTGCACCTAGGGAAAGGGCCGATGAAACAATCCAGACCATGCCGCCGAAGCAGCAACACTTGAACACATATGTGCAATTGGAAGATTCATTGGGGTTCTTCATTTTTGCAAGGACTGGAATATGTACTGGAATATGTAGTCTGGAGTTTGCACTGTTGTTCTTGGCAACAGGATCAGTTATTTTGGATGCTGATGTTGTTTCAAGATACTCAGCAAAATGCAATTCTAAATGGACATACCGACATACCCAGACTCACTAAAAGACTTGAAGCATAGAAAGGGGTCCCACTCTGAAGGTTTCTCGAAATCACGGGTCCAGCATCCAACTGAATCGTAGTGGATGACCACTGCGTTGTGTACTGTGAATGGAGAGTAGATGGCACAATCCCCCAAAGCTGGTTTATTAAAATCACCAAAATAACAAGAACATTAATTAAGGGTTTGTGCCATCTAATGTGAAACCACTGTATATTAATTATGTTACTGACGTTGTGGGGACTGACGTTGTTATTGGGGCTTCAGATCCAGACTTGCCTTGGATCGCCTTGGATGATCCGAATCGCGCAGCCAGAGGAGAGACCGGGTGTGCCCCAGTCGAGAAAATTGGGCGTGGCGGCGTGGGTTCCCTGCAACATGGTGTATCAAAATAGGGAGACTTCCAAGACGTTCCGGCCCCCTTGAAGAATGAACATCGACACCCATTGGGCCAGGGTGTCTCTATGTCTAAGGCAACGACACCCAGGTCGTCAATCTAGAAGGACTCCCAAGCTTGAACATGGGTCTTGGAATCCCAAGTTGTGGTTCATGTAAGGCTTGGCCCGAACATCGTCTTTTGAGAGCTTTGAGGGATGTATGCTTTGCTCTTCTTGCAGCCTCAGGATCTCAGCTTCACACTGGTCAAGAGTATACTACAGTACGGACATTGTTTGTGCGCCATGCCATTCAGTAGGACCGCATCCCTTGAAAAAAAACGTTCATGAGATGATTGGTCAAACAAACAGTGCGTGCTTGTCGAACCGTGCAAACCGTGCGACCGTCATGTCCGTCCTATTTCACTCACTTGGAGTAGCCTCCGGCATGACCGGTACTGCCGGTACTCCGCAGCTAGCAGCAGCTAGCCACTATAGGATTAGAAAGTGTAGTCAGGTGACCCAGAAAATCCAGTCAGAACTCATTTTAGCCCTAGAGTTTGTTGGTTTTAGTTGTTGTTGTCTTTTTGGGGGGGTCCAGTATGACTGCCAGGTGGGCTAAAATGAGTCATTGGAAGTTCATAGTTTGTCCATGATGCCAAGGCAGTCCATCCTGTTTGATGACATCCAATTCTTGCTGCAGGATTTGGGGTGGGGTCGAGAAGAAACTACCCATCCTCAAGTAGACCACCGAAAGAATTTGTCCAGCAAAGTCTTGTTAGATTGTGCTGTACTCCATTTCAATAGACTGTGTGGTGCAGTTCAGAAACTGGACCAACACAAATGACAGTAGCTGTGTTTGACAAGAAGGTTGTCATTTGGTGACGCGCTGTGGCAGTAATCCTGCACTCGCAGCCAGCCAATCAGCTTCTGGGTTTGAAGCAGGAAATAGCAGGAAACAAGCATGACTTGCTAAAGGGATGTGTGCAGGCCTCAACCTCAACCATCAAGTTTTCCCTGATGATCTTCAAATATCTTCAATATGTGTTTCCTGCGAAAGTCATGCAAGGGCTTCAAGACTGACACAACGGCTTTCTCTCACAGCGCATTTGCAGGCACACCTGATCTGAGGATCATTCATATCCCCCGACACCCACACACTGACACTGAAAAAATGGGGCGTAAGCACAAAGCTTAGCTCCGTAGATTCAAAGGACTACAGGCCAGTCACTGCCATGTTCGCCTTCACATCTCTCGGATGGCATCGACATGACCAGACGACCAGGTTGGAGCGGAATGGGGCTTAAGCGGTGCGACATGTTGAGAAGGGCGTTCCATGTCAAGAAGTCGTGTGTCGGACATGCAGAGGAACAGATGTGTCCAAGTAGCCTTTTTACATCTGCTCCCGGTTCTGAGCAGATGTGTTCCAAATTGTAAAATGGAGTCCTTGGAATCATCTCTGGTCGTCACCACTTTGTGACTCATAGAAAATCTATAGGTGGTTCTTCAAGTGATCATGAAACCCCAAACCAGAAAATTGACACCTCAAACCATATTTTCTTTGTTTTTTTGTTTTTTCACCCCTTAACATCCCCCAAGACCAGACATGTTCATATTTACTTGGCTCCTTCGCTTCGCCCCCTGCCGTGACCTGCATTTCTCAACCGCCACCTGAGACCTCCGACGGCGCTGCCAGCGCTGCCGCTGCCGTGCGGCGCTGATGTGACGGGACGGGTACCGGCGTGGTCTGGAGGGCTGCGGACGGTCGGCTTGGCAGCAGCTTGGATGACCCGGGAAGAGAACTGGTGTTTCGGACCAGACGACCTGTCTTTTTGGCCATGGATTTGAGACAGAGGATCGAGACCGAGGATTTGAAGAGGCGACTCGACTCTACATGAGGTTCTTGATGGATTTGAGACGGAGGGTCATGGATTGGAATCCATCAATTCTTGACCTGTCAGGACATGTAGGGCTGCCCTCCTAACCCTGCGGAGTTTTTTCTTTTTTCGTGAAGAGCGCTGTATGCTCAGGTGGCCTCGATGGCCCTGAAGACCCGAAGCCGAGTGGTGCGCAAGGGAAGAAGTGCCAGCTTCTGGGTTTAGTTCGGTAGAGAGATGGAAGAGGGTCGAAGCTGGGAGGTTCATTGATTTGCACCACGTGTTGATGCTATAATTAGTTGGTTTTGCCAACTGTTCGTGATCTACATCTGCAGTCATCTGCCTCAAGGAGGCCGTCAGAGATCCCATTGGATTGTTCTCAAGATGTTTCAAGTTAAGCCTGCCGAGTCGTGTTGGAGCACACTGTGCTGGGCAAGACCAACCACAATCCTTTCGCCACAGCAGAGCTAATGATAGACTCTTGACAGGTGACACCTCCCATTTGAATTGCAAAACCTCTTCAGTAACTATTGAGTAGGCTTGTGTTTTAGTATGTTTTTGTTAATCAAGAGTCTATACTGTCTATACTATACTATACTATACATAGCTCTGGCAGATCGTCTCCCCTTCCACCGGCCGAGGCAGCCCTGAGACACCCCGCCGCTGTGCCCTGATGTCCACGATGGCTGTGCTGTGCCCCGGGACGCTGGGTGCAGGCGAGATCGCCGCCTAAATGGACTTCCATAGAATGACTATAGACGAGGTCCGGGAAAGTAAATTACATAAGATCTAGTACTTATTACGGGATACTATACTTTTGAAACAGGTATTCTGGGGTATGTTGACACGGTTCATAAGGCAGGGCGTGTGTAGGGCTCGGCTTGGGCGTTGGTGGAGCGGTCAGCGAAGCTGGGTATAGGGTCCTGCAGCTGAGTTCGGGGAGCCTGGTGGGGAGACGAACGCAGAGAGAGTGCCTCAGTTGGGACATTTCAGTCGAATCGATTGGCAACAGATGACGGAGTGTTTATCCACATACTGTAGATGTTGCATCAAGATTACAGCTTGCAGCCACTGAACCGCAGAAAGCTCGAAGTCAATAATTTCACCCAAGATTGTTGATACATTTTTAGACAAAAGTCGATACTTTTCGTGCTTGAAGGTGTTTGCATTTTTTTTGTGAACTGTGCTTGTGGATGAGCAAAGATGCATACATATGCGATTAGGGATCCAATCCAATGACTGTTCGCGTGCCAGCCTCCTCATGCTGTTCACTTTCAGTGCATCTCTTTAGAGAGATGTCCACAGGCCAGCGCGCCAGTGCCAAAGGCGTGTTCCGGCCCTGTTTCACGACAGGAATGTCCCTGCCGGTGGCTGGATTGGCTAGATCTTAAATGATCTGATCTATCACGAAAAACCAGAGAATCTTCTTGACATGAACGCGTAACTAGCGCCGCTTCTTGCGCACGGGAGAAGCATCGACTGTTGGACCATGGACGGCATGGGCACCAAGACGTGCCTTGGACAGGAAATCCCTTCGTGTTGCTGCAAGATGGCATGGAGGCCTTCCGTGGCTCGCGAGATAAAACGAGCGATCCGCCGATTCGGATCATCCGTCGAACGAGTTGGAGGTAGAGTAACTTGTAGAATGTAGAACGCTGATTCCATCAACTCCCCTGCTTTGGATTGAAACGCCGCTCTTCAGGCGAAGCGGGCGGTTTTATGAGAAGCAAGATTCTAAATGAATACACTCCCTGAAACAACCATGGTGAAGTGGAACATTGGTGCCTGGAAGAGCCCGCCATCACCCGGACGGACGCGGGGGGAGCGAAGGAGTTCCCTGCCCCGAAAAGATCCCATGGAGGAGACGTCGGGTGAACCGATGAGAAGTCATCAGAGTATGAAAGAGAAAGCAAGTTTACCAACGGTCTAAGACCACAAAGCAAGCCAACTGTGAAACAGATTGAGGTAAGATTAAAACTCTATCCAAGAACAAAAGGGGCCATTCCAGGAGGATTGCCAATTACATTCACCAAGCAGAATCTCAAAATTGGTGCCTACACAGAGATGTATTTGCATACACGGTTTTTTGGCCAGGCACCTTTAGTCCCATTTGGCCAAGAGAAACGTGGTGGGACCCGGTCAACTGTTATGGGTGAAACAAGGTGGTTCTGGGTGAAACGAGGTGGTTCTGAGTGCTATTCACAAGCTCGTTCTCTTGGCAAGTAAGTGCACCCTTTGTTATCCTTTGTTGAGGTAAGTGGTGTTCAAGTAAATATAATATTGTCCTTGCTCCTACTTGTACTATCAATGCCAGGAGCGCCCCTAGTAGCTTCTTGTTACTATAGTAGTAAGGCCAAGAGCACCCCGTTCGTAGCGTCCTTGCGCCTAGTACTGATGCCCTTTGTTACTACCTGCGCGGTATGAGGGAAAGTCTGATGTGGAGAGATTCCAAATGGAGCAACCTCATGGCTCAGGTCTTGACATGATGGAAAAAGTGCTTGGTCATGTTACTCAAGAATTGGACTATTTGGTGAAATGTATAAGCAAGTCTGAGAATAGATTTGTATGTCGTCATATGGTGCAATAATTACGGCTTTGGGCGAGTCATAAGGTATCGCACCGTGTTCCTCATTGCTAGAGTCGGCCTATATCTGATAGATGTAATGTATGCCGTAATCGTGAAGCAAATGGCTAGTTCCGACCAGGATATACAAGGGTCGTTGTTAGCACCTTCAAGAGCAGGATCAGGCCGGTGCAAAAATGTACAAAATGGCAAATTCTTGTCGCAAGTCGGGTTCCCACGCACACTATTTTGCAATCGCTGGGCGAAGTGCTAGTGGACACACAGCGGCTTTCACGGATGTTGGTATCCAAGATGCAAGGTCAATAAAGCTTGACTTGGTCAGGTTGAGGGAACCTTGAGTTGCGGAGGAAATCATGTTTTATGTGTTCTTGATTCCGAAGGAATTCGTGAACGTACTGACTCTCTTCGACGGTGTGATTGACCCGGGTTACTGGCCTGTGATTGACCCGGTTCTGGAAATAGACAGAACTATTTTGCTCTACCAGGGGTCTGGGCCACCTTCCATGATTGTTGGAGGGAGGGATATGGTGGCTTATGGTGGCTTCACTTTTCCTTGAGATGCAATCCTCTTAGCCCCAAATATTTAGATTTGTTCAAGTGCAAGTTCACGAAGTTGTTCCTCGTGGTAGAATCCCCAGCTTTCCTGATGCGCCGCTCTCAGACGATTTGGGCGTTCGTGAATGACCAGACAACTGGACGCAAGTGATTTGCTCATGTCAAGCCAAGGAAATTACAAGGTGGAAGACTCCATCAAGTTTTTCGATGAAGCGGCAGAGTCCGGCTACCCGAAGGTGCCATGTGTGCACACTATCAGGCAATGAGATCCTTTAGTTCAACAAGACTCAACAGTTCTAGTTTTGGGCAGCTCAACTGAACTCAACTGCAAGGAGTATTAACCTGTCAACTCCTTCCTGTCCTACTTATTGGAGTTTGCTTCCCTCATCTTTCCCCTTCTTCCTGTCAAGGTCCGCCCAGCTGCCCAACGTCAATGGAACTCTCCTGCCAACGTCCAGGCGCGGCTCTGGCAGCGTGGCTTGTCGCTCTACTACGCTGAGCGCTTCGAGGAGGGCACCCAGCAGTTTCGCAGCTTGGGCGGTGTTTGGCTGGCGGATGTATCATGAGATGGGTTGGTAGCTGACTAGAGACTAGAGAGGATGCCCCCAAGTACGATGTATCTATCGAATAACCTTCAACAACCACGATCGAATCCAATATAGGTATAGATGATCGATACCAAACTTTACCCTTCGATGACATCCAAACGTCATTGGAAGCCATCCTTTGGCAAGGATCCCAAGGATCCGCGATCGACAGCACCCGTTCTCAACATCACCCGTTCATCTCATCTGGAAGGACATGACGTGACGGAGTTTGGACACCTGATCGAATCTGAGACGAAGGAGGGAGCCAGCCGTAGGTCCACATCCTGCGACCATTGGACCATTTGCATGACCATAGCAGGTAAAGCATACGTAAACGCACTCCGCACGCAGCGCTGGCGCTTTCAGGTAAAGATGTGGAGGTGAATCCGAACGACACTGGGAGGCAAGCAGAACACATATTGTGACCTCTCAAAGCATGTTCTTCAACATCAGGATTTTGCAGGTACTGCGATATGGACCCTCCAAAGTACTCATGTAGAAAATAGATGAACATAGGAGGTGACCCTACTATAACAACAGGTACTTGTACCCAATTGTTGAGAACTTTGAGACTCCAGGGACTCAACCGAGGACATTGAATCTTTGAAGGCTTTCCATTCGAGTCGTTCAACTTACCATGTTGCGATACCCGCATGTGTGCGTGTTTTTTGTGTTTGTGTTTTTTTACTTTAAGCACAAACATGTGGGGTCACATCCAAAGACACGACCACTCTATGAACATCTATGAACACATTCTCTTTAAGTTCAGTGAATTGTTTTTCAGTTTTCCTCGGCCAATGCTTCAGTGGCATCCAACCCATGTATGACTGGACACGCTCACAGACACGGTTCATATGGCCCGGGTTGGGCGGAACACATGGCCCACACACCGAAGCGAAGGCACGACCACATGGTGACTGCACTGGACCCGGTTGTGCGCCTCTCAACCAATGGACTTCGGTGTGCTGCATTGATGTTTCGGGGGGTTTCCCATACTTTTCCCTGATCATTCTAATAAGACACCCATCCAAAAAAAGGGAGAAAAGCATACGTCACGTGTCTCCATCCACACCCTCAAGAGGGTGCGGATTCATCAGGCCGAAAAAGAACGAACCGAGGATACGGAGGAATCCCTTTGGGCTTTTCTTTGTGAAGCGCGGATGGTGGGCTTTGAGCAAGCCAGACTCTAGGACGCAACGCTGTGGAGGAGCGCTCGAGAGCGCGCTCCGCGTCGCGGAGGAGCACAGCGCAGTGGAAAGAGGAGTGGACACCTCAAGATGGTGTTTCGTTCACAGGCTCTGGAGCACATTGAAGCCAACCGTTTGTGGCCCTCCATGTTGCTTAATAAGCAGAAAGGATCAGAAAGGTAATTTCAGTACTATACAGTACTCATCTTGAATGTATTGGACATATTTTCCCTGCAGACTATATGTTGGAGTTGTGCTAACTTGTCCCAGGTGTAGACTGCAAACGTAAGATGTTCACACAATGTTGGCACATGCCGCATGCCTGTCTAGAGTTAGGAATTAAACTGTATATGAGCAATCCTTCAACGATCCAGATGTCATTGTGTCTGCGAGTTCTAAGACATGAATGAATGCAGTCCATCAATCTGTCCGTCCGCACGTCTATTGATTCATTCAAAACATTTGCCAGTGTTTTCTGTCATTTGCCAACCCATAATTCTTTCAGTTGCGCCTAACGACCAACCCTCCTCCTTTTTGGGTCTTGGCTGTGTTAAGGCATGTGAACGCATGTTACCGCAACCGCATCCATCAGTGAATTCCAAGGGTGAGTAACTCTTTGTTAGCTCATGTTACCTCTGTGAATGCATTTTTCTAATGGTGGAGTGGTTTTGCATGCCTTCTGGCGCGTGCCCAAGGAAAGCAAATGATGACCGTGGGCTTTGATCCTCGTCCCGTCATGGGCTCCGTGTACCTCGGCACGGTTGTGTCGTGTTTGAGCTCCGACCTGACCTCCGACCTCCGCCATGCAGCGCTGAGTACATATTCGGTAGGAAAAAAAATCGTCCACTAACTATAAATATTGCTTCACTAGTATGCTTGTGACCAACAATGGTATATTAGCTTATATATGATGGGACAAGAAACATTAAGGAATATGATTGGTGCACTAACTATTTGCAGATGTTATAGATGGCTTGATATCGTGAGACTTATATGGATGGATTTAGTAAAGCCCAGTACGAGAGCCTTGCAAAAGATTGCAAAAGCCATAGCTCTTCATGATGAGTCAGAGACCGCCGAATCCCAGCATACTCGGTAGCACTCGGTAGCGCTGGTAAGACAACAGGACCACAGAAGAACCTCCGATTGTTCCCGCACGAAGCAAGTGCCGATGTTCAGGCACCTCACCAATAGCGAGTGTAAAGAGCGCTCCCGGACCTCCCCAAATCTCTGTTCAATATATTTGGATAAGAGCACAGCGGCAGCTCCAATACATGATCTTCGCAAGCATGGCCACTGTCATTTCACTTTGGTCTCCATGGAAACCCATAACCTCAGGGAACCTATATGGGGTTCCCACAGTTGAGCTTAGGTACGCCCTGTACAAGGGTGATGATGATGCAAAATACGTCGACCCTGAGCTGTATGATGGGTGGAGAGGGATCATGGCCCTGCGTCCGGTCAATCAGCTTTGGTGATTGAAGACTTCTGTCTTCGAGGACAGGATCCTAATGAGGACAGTAAAGTACATACATCCCCTTTCACTTTGAAGAGGAGCTTCGAAGCCTCAGGTTTGAAGAGGATGTACCATCATTTACCTATGCCAATAAGTTTTGACACATGTGCAGCACATGTGGTTTCTTGTGATTCTTGTGCACGACTTAATTGTTTGTCAATCATCCTTTCCCAGTGTTGCAAGGGTAGACAGTTTCTGTGTGCATGGTCCTCGTTTTACATGCACGGCCTAGCAACAGTCCTTGTATCAACAAACATCCGTGCGACTTTGTAACGTTGCAGTTGAGATGTTGGAGTAGCACCATGATGGTACCTGCCAAGAACACTTTGGTAAGTTCGTGTCGCTTTGCAACCTCAGTACAACGCTCCACATAGATATATTGTTCCCATACCAGGACCATCAAAGCGGCCTTTTGAAATCCAAGTATTATGTCATTTAGGCTTGTCAAAGTCCAACAGAGAGACTCCAAAGAGGTCACGAACTGAAGGTGCTAGATGAAAGTGCCACCCGGATCCCCACCAGCAGTGCTCCCCTGTGTCGGTCTCACGGGCCTAGGCCCGGCTGGAGGAATTATACCAGAAGGGCGGCTCCGATGCTTTCTACGCTTCCCTCTATTTAGGGCTTTACTACGAGGCGCCATTCAGCACACATGCTGGCAATGGCCGTTCATTCAGCTTCAGAGGGCTGTTGGTGCAGTGGAGCCTTGGAAATCGGTGGGTCCAAGGGTCTTTGACCTGACGTTGTGCAAGGCTTGTCATGCAGACTCCAGGAACCAAAGGTGATTCTCACTCTGTTTGTTTCCAGGTCGGTTCCTATGATATTAAGACGAGGGTATATGAATTATTCAATATATCAAGATATCAAGAACTCATTATCACTCCGTCCAATTGCATCAAACTCACAAAATAATCTGGAAACAAAAAATCACCTTCTTTGACCAACTGGTGCAATCAAGACCGGCCACTGGGTGCTGTTCTTCAGCACGGTCTTCACCTTCCGTTCTCGGCGTCGGAACCGGGACAACAGCGGGGGGGCCTCACCGGTTCCGCAGGCGAAGGCTGACACGGAGAGTGCCAAGTTGTGGCTCCTACGGTCGGTCGAGTCGAAGTACGGTCAGTCCAGTGGCTTGGTCTGGCTTCGCATGGAATGATAGGACCGGTACGGGCCAAGGAATTACCATGGAAAGACATTGATTGTGGTGAAGCGATATATATAGATGTTTTTTGTTTTCTTATGTTTTTTAAACATAACTTTGCATGACACTATATAGGCTGCATAGGGGGATTAAAGAAAGCACATCTATGTCGAACCCATGTACCGTAGACGAACTGGAGAAGAGAAACATGCCAAGAAACTGGAATCACAAAGTCAAAAAGACGCCTTGTTCCATAACGGGCACTCCTGGCAGTGCAGTTGTCTCGCTCCCCCCCAAAAGAAGCAACTCTCCTGCTAGCATGGCAGACTCGATCCGAGCGGTCTCTTTTTAACTCGACAGGTCCTCCGGCACCCGTCTTTCCCGCCGCGAAGGCAACGACTATATGGCCGACCTGGCGCGCGTCCATGTGGCCCGGCGCCAGTGGCGTGCAGAGCTGTGAGTCGGTTTGGAGCGATCGTACGGGAGCGAAGAAAAAGGTACAGAAGCCCTTGACAGAAAGGAAACCAAACGGTCACCACACCTCCCACCTGAGGAATCCGGACTTCTGAGGACTTCACTACGCACGGAAGTGGACTGTGGATGTGTTTGTTGCAGGGTGTGGATGAATGTGGCATCACCGGTTTGATGGAGCAATCTGTCTCACAATGCCAAACATGTGTTTACAGGTCAATAGTCACTCTTATTCGATCTTACTTGTGTGATCATACAAGGCAAGGGATCAGGTTGTACTGAATCAGATGGGCCTTTCCCCGGCCAGTGACCAAGCTTTTTCCTTTTCTTGAATTGGTTGACCGGTTGACCGATTGACCTGAACTGCTTGGCGGAGAAAGACTTGACGTAAAGTGAACTGATGGAGAAAACATGAGAAATCCTATGACTTTGCAGCTGTTCGTGGTCTGAGACCGCCAGCCTTGAGAAATCCTATGAGTCTTCTACAAAAAGCACCGACAGGAACCGTCTTCAACCCATTTTTGTCCGCAGCTCGAAAAGGAGCTCAGTCCGGTCGGCGCGATGAGATCGCCATGGCCCCAGGTGGGAGGTTACTCAGCGAATCGTCTCGTTGTTCAGGTCATTTCAACTCCATGACTGGCCAGGATTTGTTTTCTTTTCTTCTATCATGACTTGGCCCTGCTCCCCCAAAAGAGAGCAACTCTTGATCACCCAATGGTCTCTGGAGGAAGCTATGAGGAAGCTATAGTCTTGCTTAGTCTTGCTCCTCAAATTCGCAGGATCTCCTGGGCCCCGACCTCGACGACAGGAGCGCTGCGAGCAGCGCGCAGCGAAGTGTGGGTCTAGGGGCGGGTGCGTGCGGATCAGGTAGGCCATTTTCTGAGGAAACTTGCACTTCTGAGGGAGGCATTATTTTGGCACTCGGAATCATGGTTATGATTGGTTACGTGCATGGCATGGCCGCGAAAGGAGGATCATTTTCCCCAAACGTGCCAAACAAGTGGTTGCACTGCATTTCCAGGTCAGTTTGGCAGTTCTTGGAAGATTTTCAAATGAAAGATGTTGACCAAGTGATCTTCAAAGTGACCCAGGATGAGATCCCAGAATGAGGTCACTGATAGTCCCTAAAGAGGTCATTCTGGCAGTTCTTGGGATGTTCACCGTCAGAAGGTGGTTAGACCCGCCAAACCTACCATAACCATCTTCGAAAAGGAGGTAGTTGGAGGCCTAGGGTTCAATCACTTGTGGAGAGTGGATCTTAACACGTAGGAACCATTGGGCCCCAGCTCTTCCCTGGTCCGTGTCGACCGGTGGGGGGCCGCTTCTTCCAAGGTTTCAGATTTGAAGGTGCTAAGTGCAAACCTCTTGAAATTGGATCTGGGATTCCTTGCTAGCAGCCTTTGAGAATGTGGGCGAATCTACAAATCCTTGGGTACGGTGGGTTGTAAATGAGAACTCCACGTGTTGGAGTTCTCTCGTTTACTTGGTTTTCGCGTTGAAACGCTCCTAATTGATCCAGGAACATGGAAGCATCTCTGAAATCATTGATTCCCCAAACTGGTATTCCGACTAGCTCCCCTGTCCGCACGTGGCAACAACCAGGCTTTGGGCTGAAGTCACTTCTGGGGCAAAGCCCCCGAAGCTGCTTGGAGCAGTGCTGGTGGTGCCCACTGGGGAATCATTCAAAGACAAGTCTGTATGATACTTACCCACTTACCCACATGTGGCTCTTCCCCAAAACGACATAAAGACACTAGAAGAGCCACATGGGAATCAACACGTCTTCGTCTTCCAAGAGCTTCCATTGCTTCCAAGAACCTTCCATCGAAGCCATCGGTGGCGCCCAGTTCTGACGCCCATCGACCATTGGCCCGACCGATGAATCAACCCCTCCATTTGGATGAACGCACTGGTCAGTCCTGAACGCTTCTACGCCATCCCTTGCCACGTATTGGGGCGGGTACGGGTAGAGTGGGGTGAGACATCCGGTGAAAGTGGAAAAACCAGTGTTCGAAGCAAGAGAGCAAACGGAAGAGGCAATTTGGATTGCAAGACCTCTTCAGATGGTGTCTTTTCTTGTCAAATCGTTTAAAGCCGTTGTTTTGCTAGCAAAAAACAAGGGACACACACACACACATGGTCTAAATCGTTGTCTATTCTATACCTGTTTTATCCTGTGTTTTCCCTTCGATTTCTGTGGCTACACTGTCTCGGACAGGACGCGTATACCGGACGCACCGATCGACGATCGATCGTCGACGTTTGGCCCTTCGTTTGCGGGGGAAGATGTTTGCAGCATTCTTTTTTGGTGGACGGTGATTTGTGGGTGAAATTTGGTAAGATGGACGAAGGAACAAGCAATGCCTGATTCTGGAAGACATGTATAGATACCAAGCTACGAACCAGGGACATGTAGCCCCTATGAAAGCCTGTATCATTGTCCATGAAGTGATCGGTGCGTTCCAGTAGTGTTTCCCACCCTCCGTGTTCGCAAATACTGCTGCTTTGAGAAACATGTAAAACATCCATACGTATGAATCATATAATTGCATAGTCTGTAGATCCCATTAATCGAAATTTCAACTATGAATCCATCTTTCAGGGGGCGGGTTCTTTAAGGTATCTTGCTGGAACGTCTCAAGCTCTCTCGTTTCTTTCTCTCTTCTTTTTCTCTCTTTCTCTCTTTCGACGCTCTGGGCGTTTGAGGTCGATCTCGGCGTCGAAATCCTGTGTGAACTTTAAGTCTCTGGACCCCTCAAGGCGAGAGTCCGCTTTCCTCACCGCCGGGGGGGGGGTTGACTCGTCTGCACGGGAGGGGAGGAGTGACACCATGGGACCGGGGACGTTCTGCGAGTTCCAGGTGATGAAAGTCATTGGTTTCATGGGTCACAAAAGCTGTATAGCTACTACTGAGCAATTTAACTCATGTATTAAGGTTTGGAAGCATGCTGCAGCATTGTCCTGTCATGCCTAATCCAGTTTGGACTTTTGTAGTAATGACATGCAATGACCCTAGAAGGCTATAACCCTAAGGATCCAAAACACATCCTATTTATGCGTTTGGGTTCCAGGATCATCCACAGAAGCGTTTAATCTTAAAGACCATCTGTAGACGCGTTTGAGATTTAGGGTCAACGAATCACGCCAAATCACGCCCTTCCCCCCTCCTGTCCCCCACACATACAAGCCCACAAGCAGCAGCCCGACTTTGCCATCCACATCGCTGGGTGCCCTGGTTGCAAGTTGGCCGCTGGTGGGACGAGGTTGGAAACAACCAAGCTATGCGAATTAGTAGAAATCGCTCATGACGTACCGATGATGTCAGCATCATCGTCTCCAGTCCTGACATGGTTCACCATGGATCCAAGCAGGACCCCTGTCAAAAGCTCATTTACACAACAAGCGAACTGCTCGGCAGATCGGGGTCCTGGCATTGCTATGGACCCACATGTAGAATTTGATCAGCAGAGTTCGCTCCATCGTTCTGGCATGAGATGCCCTCGCTATTCCTCATCAGGTTGAATCACAGGGCAACACTAGTTGGTTTGCGTTGAATGATTTGCATGAAAAAAATGCATCCAGAGAACGGATCAGCTTTCCATTCAAGTCTTCATCACGGAATGTATGATAGAAGCGTGGGTTGTAGCCTAATTGTGCATTGAGAGACATGCAAATATCATGAAACTGAACCAACTGCACCCACGATTTTAAGCTAGAAACACTCCACAGATGCAAAGTGGGCCAGTTCCATCCAGGCCTCAAGGTCAAGGTGTTCCAATTCTGCTCTCATCCAATTTCAGAAACATGCCATGCGCTTAAGAAGATGGCCAAGACTAATTGCAGTCGAGGCACATGAAGTTTTGGTCGCAAAGGAAACAGACTCAAGGAATTGGCGCATGCCCAAGTGGCCAACACTGCATAGCATACGCTGGCCGAAGCCTAATTAAGTCTAACTTGCGGGCTATGCACACAACCGATCTATTCAAATAAACCGGCTCTCATCGATATCGATCCTTATAACAAAATTCCATCGATATATATCGATATCGCGATTCGATCCAAGGTGCTGTGTGGAACTTGATCGCAGCCACGTGCTCTGGCTGCAAGTATCGCGGAGAGGACTCGATGGTCTTCATGCCCAAGTTCAGGTGGTGCCTCATCTAGTTCCCTAGGCCTAGACCTGAATTGTACTAGACAAAAACAGATGCCAATCGATATTTTGCAGTTGAGGTGCACCAAACCTTGCAGCAATGCCCATTCCCTTCCACGCTGGTCTGAGGCATTCACATAGGAAACCACAAATTCAGACATCCAAGCCAGAATCACCCGTGCCTCAAGGACATAATGGTTTGGATTTTCTTTACAGGCTAGGGACTAGTATCAGAAATTCAGATATCATGACAGTCAGCGAAAGCACGTTCCATCCCTTGGCAGCCACCATGTGGGCGTTGTTGTCCACCGGTCTGATGAACTTGGTGTTGAAGCAAGGTTGGGAATGCCTTATTGGTCAACCAAATGAACGATTAGGTGCGCTCAATCTTTGAACGTACTAGGTAGTGCTAAGTGGCTGAATGCGGTGAGCCTTCGTCCATGAATTGAAGTGTTGGTAGGCTTGGAAGAGGCGCTTCTCAATCCCCGCACCATCGTCACTCCACAAATCTTCCTGCGTCCAGTTCAAATCTAGATGTTTATAAAGGTGTGCTTGGAAAGTGTCTAGCTCAAATCCAGTGTTTTTGAACACCGAATCCTGGGCAAGCAACATGTGAAACCCGCTGCCCACTACCCAGTTCACAACTCCAAGGTGAAGAGTGTGAAGAGTGCACCATCGAATCATATCGTGATGGAACCCAATCACTGAGCACACTTCACCTTAGGCCACTTGCGCATACTTGTGCAATGTATACGTATACATGAATGTACATCGCACGCATGCAGGTGGTCACTCGGTTCATTGATGACCCTTGTCGTTGATAGGAAGGAGTCAAAGTCTCTCCGGGGCAGTCGATCCAACTTTGGGGGAAACTCCAGGTAGTCATCTTTCCGGGCGAAGCAGTGATGACACAGGAAGGTTGAATTCCAACCTACCTGCATGTTGAACAGTTCCCTGATGAATTTCCAATCGCCACGAATTTCAGCCAACGTGCACAAAACTGGCAGCCTGTCCACACCAGTAGG